TCTACACCAAAAAAGGTATCAAATTTCTGAAAATCTCGGAACTTCGATATTGAAAGATCTTTATAAACCTTTACTATTTAGTACCAATAAATGCAGTTTTTTACGGGCTTCAATTTGGTATAAAATACTTAGTGAAATCATTTTACCTAAAGGTCGAACCAGGGGGAGACAAAGGTTTTGCAACACCCTGTAGAACTTGGTTGAAATCATTTGAATTCATCCTTTTTACAATCAGTTGAAACTAGGAGAAATATTCTATGGTGTGAGTGTGGGTGTCAGTGTAGAGATAGATATTTATACACTCCCATCCCCACCCTTTTATCAAGAATTGATCTTTAAAGTTAAAGAAATACACGTTCTGGTGAAAATTCAGTCAACAGTAAATAGATTTGAGAAAGAAAATAAATCAATTCTGTATTTATTTAGTAAAATAATCTTTTTATAATAGCGTTCAAAAACTTTTTTTCCATAATTAAAATACTTATTTCAATAGATATTTAAATCTTCAAAAAAATATCGAAATTAAATAAATGATAAATAAGTAATATTAGATAACGATAATAATGATCGAGAGAGAGAGAAAGACAAAGAGCAGCATATGAAATTGGATAATATGTTTTTTTTCTTTTTTTTATATAAGAGATGGGAATCTTTTACTTATATGTTAAGCATTATAATAAAATTTCCTTTCATAGAGTGAGTGTGGGTGTCAAAAGAAAATATATTACACCCAAACCCACTATGCACTCAGATTTTTCACATTTTAAGTATAGGAAAGTGTATTCAAATAAATGATTATGACAATCGTAAAAGTAGTTTATACTATATCTCAAAAACTGACCAATGTAAATATAGAATATTATAAATCGACTCCGAATCTTTTGAATTGTTCACGATGCTCTTCTGAAAACACTTTGTCATCACCCGTAGCTGTAATAGACAGTTCAGTGCGTAACTTTTCTAACCAAAGCTGCCCCATTTTCGTCTGTCCTGTGCCATAATACATTAGAGATAATTGAAGCATAGCAGGAAAAAGACATGATGTCCATATGCTTTTCTTTGTGCCAAATTCATGTATTTTTATTACTTTCATGCATTTATCAATAGCCTTCTCGAGATTCCCGTTGGAAAAAAATATTTTTGCGAGAACAAATAATGGCAAACATAATTCGATTCGATATTGTTTGCGATTCGACTCTTCATATGTCTTTTCGATCTGGTTGACGATATTTTCCGCTGTTTTGATTGTTTTTCCAAGGTTACATGTTTGTCCTTGTTTTATTTTTGAGAAAACTTCACGTTGATACGTTTCAAATGCAACTTTTCTTTGATTTCGCACCGCTGCAGATTCTGCTTGATCTAGTCGACAGAGTTCACAAGTGCAAACGAATCCGTGTTTCGTCATTACTTTTCGTCTTGTTTCAAGATCGAAAAATAAGTCCGAATAGCTCATCAATAGTTCTGTACCTATCGGCAAATCGTTACTGGCACGAACTATCATCATATCTCCAATAAAACTTGGTAAGCAGTTGCCATAACAAGCATGATTGATGTATGAGGACATTAAAAATACTGCACTGGGATTGTCGTCTAGGTAACTGTATCTAAAAGTACTATTTGTATCTTCTCGAGGATTGTGATCACAGTCTAGGAGGGCAAAAGCATTCATACTGCATATATCACCAACCCAGAAAGCATCAATTACTGGAGGAGTTGAGATAATTGGAGGTATTTTAGCCAATCGATGATTTCCTGCGTATAAATTGAAAAATTCTCTGGCCAAACTTGGATTGTTGATAAGTTTATGTACGACTTTCTGTGAAATCATTCCCTGTGCACCTTTATCACTCAGCTTGGTTTCCATGTTAAAGTATGTGACAAGACCAGCCTCGGACGGATAGCAGACCTGAAAAGCCTTCGAACATAGTAATAATTCTCCTTTTCGAACATCTCGTGTTAATACCAGTCCTCGACCTCTTTCATTTGATATGTTTATGATCCGAACAGGACCAATATAAGATGCATGATCGAGACGAGGTGTCGATAATGTTTTTGCTTCAACTTTCATTACATTCCAATCGTAGATTCCATGCTGTTTTTCATGAAGTCTATCTCTAATACGTTGAAGTTCGTTCTCTGCTTCTGTTTTATTAGAAGTAACTTTTGGATACAATTGCATTTTGATCAATGCTTTTTCGGACTCTTCCAGAGCATAAAAGGCTTTGGCTGCACGATACAGTGCTTTCTCATTTTCTACATTTAACTCCAATATTTTTCTGCAATCATCCAGTGTAGCTTCGTAATGTTCTAGTTTGAGGAGAGCAGCTGCTCGATTTAGCCTAAGAGTGATAATATTGGACTCAGACGAAGTTGAGGCTAAACCTTTTGTATATATAGCTACTGCATCATAATATTTTTCTTGTCGGAACAATTCGTTGCCCTTCAGTCTATATTCATCAAATGATAGTAATTTCTTATTTTCAAGTGTTGAATTCGGCACACCAGATTTCCATGTAAGCTGTCGCACTAGAGCATCATCAGCATCGAGATAGATGACGTTTTGCGGATGATCACAACGCAACATTGTACCTCCACCAGCCGTCACTTTATAATATGGCTCTTTTAATGCAATTATAATTCCGACGGGTAAGATGTCCAAATAATGTTTATCCAGAGCATAATTATACAACGAGAACAAATCAACATTTCCTTCTGGATCTTCTATAACTGTTCTTATACCAACTGCTTTGTCTGATTCCATTAGTGTTTTAAATACCACATATTTGCCTCGATGAACAGTTTCTAAAACTAATTCAGTCAGGGGTACACGACGTAGAGATGAGAGTGGTTCTGTACATGGAGCATACGTCAATGTGATAATACTATTACAAGCAGTAACCTGATTCCCAGTGCTTTTGACTAGTGCTAATTCCCGCTGATAGCAAGATATTAATGTTTCTTTCGTAGGACGTATCGTTGGCTTTTTACCCGACATTCTTTGAGCCATTTCAACATTTTGCATTCGCTTTTTCCATAATTCTTCATAATCTTGCATGTTCCTGCTAATTTTTTATTTTTTTAAGGTATCCAACGTGTTTCAAGTAGGTTACAATGCAGAAAATGTCGAATGATTAGATGTTGGGAGAGAAAGAAAAAAAAAAAAAAAAAGAAATTTTCCAAGTAGTTGTGTAATGACACTTTACTTCTAAAAGTAAAAGAAAAAAGTTAACACATACCCGAAAAAAGTTGTGTAATGTCGTTCTTTTATGCCGATTTTTTATTCTTTTGCTTTCAAAGGCAAGATAATCGTTAATCTTGTTTATCTGATTGTCAAACAAAAAAAACGGTAAAAAGTCCGAAATATACGAAGAGAAGATTAATATGCTCGTACACAAAGTAACAATGATAGAATGACGCATTATCGTATATATGCTTGTGACAGATATCTTAATACACTATTTTCTTCGAAAATAGACATTAGTTTCACAAAACAATACTCTCATAAAAACTTTATTATTATCTTTTTCGTTTTTATCTGCATGATTGATATATGAGTGCTCCTCCACTTTTTGATATTTTCGTTACGAAAGCCACTCATGACAGTACTTTTGCAATACTCTTCGTGGGTTTTGTAATATGTTGGTTTACATAATGATCCTGCCCATGTAAAAATGTTTTCTAATTTAACGAAACTTTGTGACGTGAAAATTCGTTAAAAATTTAACGATTTAACGATAAAAAATGTTACAATTTTGATCATGAAAACGCGTTAAACGTGCACAAAATTAACGCGTTTAAACGCGTTTTCAAATTCTAACGATCTTTTTTTCGTTAAATCAGTACATTTTTAATGATTCTTCACACGTGAATTTATCGAAAACGCGTTAAATACAAAAGCTGATTAATATGCTACCCCTCAGAATTTTTCATACATTATTATTTACTGCAAGTATGATGAACTTCCTTCAATAATCAGTATCTTGCTTAGTTTCACTCGTCTGAAGAGAAAAGTCCAGGTAATCAATTCAATATTGGATGTACTTTTTAATAAGATGCTTCAGAAAGCATTGTTATCACTATAAATATTTCGTAATAGATAGCAAAACCAACGAGGAAGTACAATATTTTTT